ACTGCAACAGCACTTGTGCAGTGTTTACTTAATTTCAGTACAGTGGTAACCGTTCTCGTGAGCCACATTAATATGAGTGTAAGTCACGATCTTCATTCCTCTATTTCACCCTTAACTGTTCATTCATATATTTCATGGTAATTAATAACTCATTTTTACATGAGATACTTCATATACTGCTGACATGCAGACCTGCATGTGTAGCAGCCAACATGCGTTGCTATTGTCTTACGTGGGCTTTTGTAGACCCCTTTCCAGCAGGATTGGAAGGAATCCAGCTTCAGCTTCCATTTTTCTGATCTTTTTGACAATCAGCACTTTGATTGTGTGTTAAGTCAGAAGGTTACTGGCAACGCAACCGTGTAAACAAACAGTTCAGCAAGCAATTAATTAAACTACTGTCATAGCGAGTCCTGCACATGCCTGTGAACACAGCTCTAATTATCTTAACTGTCACCATTCCCAGATCTCTCAGTCAGACCGCTAACTAACGTGTTGAAGATCAAAAGACTGTGGCAAGTCCAACCTAGACTTGGAACTAAACTATCTTATTGGCATTTCTCTCACCCACTCTCTCTCCCCCCGTTTTCTCCTCCTCTCTCGCGCACTCTCTCTTCCTGTCTTTATAAAACTGCATTCAGCCCGAGCTCACTCACCGTGGAGAAGCACACAAGGAAGGTCTGCTCTTCACACTCCTCACACACTCAACTCGTCATTGCACTGAGAAACAGCAGCACAGGTAGGTTATCAGCTGATTGTTTTTTAAGGAATTTTCATGTTATTGTATTCTTTTTTATTTTATTTTATTTTCAGCTGCACCTTAAGCAGTAGTAGTAACATTTTTCTTTTTCCAAGTGCATAAAAATATGTAATTAGAACAGAAACGAGTGTTTCCTGTTTTTCAAGCTTTTCCAGTCACATGTAACACAAGCCTCACAGGTAGGGGCTTATGTTAGGTAATTTCAGAATATTATATATATATATGGCAATTGCATGCTTATCCACATTTTTTTTTTCAATTAATGCATATAAAGGTATACATTGTTGTGAGCTAATAGCTTTGCATGCCAGACCTCTTTTATGATGCTTCTTGGCATTTTCATCCAAGGGCCTACAGCTGGATTTCTAACATAAAATCAGATTGCAAATAAGTACTGGCATGGACATGTGAAGCTTTGTATTGTTGAAGGGTGAGTGTGTGAACACAAAGGAACCAAAAAGACCTGTGTATGTCATCTAACGCTAAAAAAAAGTATTTTGGAACAGTGATATGAAATATTTATTAGTCTGTCAAAAAGTTTAGATTTGTAATCATGTAAATTGCAAATATCTGAATGAGAAGAAATTTGCATCTTTTTAGATAGAGAGTGAGATAGTTAGATAAATAGAAATCATATATATA